CCTCGAGGAGGCGTGCAGCAACCCGGACAACCTCGAGAAGGTTGTGCAGCTGCGCCCAACGTTAGAACATCTCGGCGACATTGGCGCAAACCTGTTCCTTCGGTGGGTACGAACACCGGATCACTCTGACCCAACAGGTTCATGTCGACCTCCGCAGGCTTCCTCTACCTCCTGCACGCGCAGTACATCGACTACGAGCTCAACAGCTGGCTGGCGGTGAGCTTTTTCTTTTCGAAGGCAAGAAGCTGACATCAGGAACAAAACATGCTCTACGTCGTCGAGGTCGAGACGTTCGTGTCCAAGACGATCCGGCCGATCTCGCGACACCAGCCTGAGGAGTTCTGGGCGTACGAGGGCACGGCGCCGACGCACTTCTTCCGCGAGCTGACCAAGACGCCCGAAGGCTGCCAATACCTCCGCGAGAAGGGAATTGTGCCCGACTTTGCGGAGGTCATCCGTTTGCACGGGCTCGAGGCGGAGAATCAGGAGATCATGAACGAGGTCAAGAGCGCGCTCTGGGTTATGGTGGGTTAGTAAGCTTGGTGGGTACTAACCAGCAGGGCAACATTGGCTCGACAGAGGGCGGACTCGCGTTCCTCGAGGACGAGGAGATCATCGAGGTTATCGTCGAGATTGCCGACCTCTCGCCGGTGATCACAATGAAGGGGTGAGTGGGATAATCACAGCTTTGTACCATGTAGGCACGAGCTGACATCAGAACGTGCTTCTTCGTTCTCGGCCTGATCTCGTCGACGCTCGTTGGCGCTGAGATCTTGGAGGAGTGCGGATGGATCGCGACACGCACGCCAATGGGTCAGACGACGGGCCTGTGTCTCCCCGATGATCTCAGCCGCTTCGTGCACCTTGACACTTGGGAGCCCGCAAAGGTGCCAAGTGGCATTGAACCGCTTCCACCCTTCAGCGGCCTCGAGGGCGAGGTCATGCACATGATCTCGAACCTCAGCAACTACGTCCTGGCCGGCACGGCGATGAACAATCTGAAGCGGTACGCGCTTCGCTGTTCGTTCGGTTAAGCTAACCCCAGCGTGCGCAACCGGCATCCGCGATTATTCGCCTCGACGACCTTGTTCCACCGCGCCCTGCGCGCGATCTCGACGAACCACTTCCAAGCGCCGGTCCGGCGCTTCATCCTCGACCTGTTCGACGTGCAGCTGACGCCGCACTCGCTCGCCCGTCTTGCTCACATGGAGCGCGGTGGTAGCGAACGCATGTCGCATCACGAGCGCAAGGGATCTCATGAGCGCAAGGGCAGCGGACACAAGCGTTCCGACTCAAAGGACAGCACGGGCGAGTCGCGGCGGCGCTCGCAGAGCTCGCCCGGCCCCGAACCGCGCTTCGAGCGCCTGACCAAACTCGAGGACGTGACGGAGGGAAGGGAGATGCCCAACTTTGGCGCACCGGAAGGAGCGAGAAGGGGAAGAGACGACATTGACTTATTCGAGCGCGCTGCCGCTTTTGATCGCGCAGACGGCGTCGGACAGAGGAACGGGGCTGGAGAGCAGAACGGAGGCACGCACGCGCTGTAAACGTGTATCATGACTGGACGACTGTAACAATGCATCAGACATGACTTGTAGCCTATGCTTACCCACGACTGACATGCAGACATGTAGCGCACACAGCAGGATGACGTACCGGTGACTGACGGACCAGTGATCGGCAGGCTGGACTTGGCGACCGGATGTTTGGTCGGTTTGGAAATGTGTCTTCCCTCTTCGCGCAGCAAGGCAGCGAGGTGTCTTCCTCGCTCGCCACAGTGGATGTTCTGGAAGTGTCTTCCCTCCTTTCTCACCATCGCTCCATCCTCCTTCACTCATCTCGTCTCTCAGCAACTTACAGCAGCATGAGCCCGCGCGCTGGCTCGATCACCCCCAGCCCGCGCGTCGGCAGGCTGACGCCGAGTGGGTCGAGCAACGCGCCCTCCATCGCAAGCAGCAACTTGCCTCACGTAAGTTTGTCTTCTCCCTCCTGTATTCATACCGCCCATAACGTCCTCTTTCCAGCTTCGACGTGGGTTCACATGAGCTGACGACAGCGTACAAGCTACCAGATGCAGCTCGCTCAAGGCCACGAGCGGGAGCACGCGCATCATCGCGAGTCGCGCGAGTCGCGCAAATCGGTGCCCAGTGTGCCCTCGCCAACTGCGTCTCCCCACTTCCCAACACCAACGCCCTCCTTCCGTCGTCCATCTTCTGTGCAATCCATCCGCCATCAACAGCAACCGTACGACGAGCGTCGTGCGCCATCCCCTGGGCCGCGCCAGCAGAGCCCCATTCGCCACCCATCCCCCACTCGCCACTACGAGCGCCACGAACGCTACGACTACCCGCGCGAGACGTACCAGGAGACCTTCCACGAGGCGCAGTATCCATCTCAGCCGGCCCGTGTCTATGACGAGCATCCACCCCCCAACTCGCAGCGCCCCGCCGGTCCCTACCACCGCTCGCAGTACACGGTCGAGCCGACTCCGCCACCGTCCCAGCCCGTCAGGCGCACTTATACCCCGATCGAAGCGCCACAGCCGCAGCAGGCGCCGAGGAAGACAAGTTCCAAGGCCACAGTCGAGATCTTCAACAAGCTCATCCGTCAGTTGGCGGCCCCTCGCTGTTAGCTGACAGCCAGAACTCGAGCACGATGTCGGTGGACTGCGCAGCGAGATCCTCCACATCCGCGATACCAACCACGACGTTCGCACGGGCTTGCGTGCCCTGCCAACACGGGAAGAGATGCGTGACGAGATGCGCGAGATTAGTGAGCTCCTACGACCTCCATCCTGAGCTGACGACAGTGACTTCAACTCTGCAGGAGACAACGGCGACATTGGCGACCACCTTGACCGAGAGTCTGGGCACGAGCCTCGCGAGCAGCCTCAGCACCAGTCTCGCCGCCAGTATCACCGAGTCAGTCACCGCAGCGCTCGGCACACAGGTCACGGAGGCCGTTGAGAAAGCAACACGCGCCTCAACCCAGTCCCTGCCCGCTATCACGGCGCACCTCGTGTGCGAGAAGACGAAGGCGGCGTTGAGCTCGAGCGAGAAGGCGGTCGAAGCCGCAGTGCGCAGCAGCATCAAGAGTATCCAGCCGCCGACGGTCGCGCCGCCAGGCGGCACTGTGAGTTACGAATCGGCTGCAGTGAACTGACGATCAGATCACCGCTCTCCTTCGCCCGATCAACGATATGAAGACTGCGTTCGAGGAGAGCCGCGTCGCTGAGTCGATGCGCTTCGTCGCCGGTATCACGGACCAGATTAGCACCAAGATCGCGCAGCTCGAAGTGTCCGTGTCTGATGCGGTGCAAGGTGTCCAGAGTCAGGTGGATGCTACGGTGCTGCAAGACGCACTCGGCGGTCTCAAAGAGCAGGTCGCGGCCGTCACTGCCTCCATCGCCGACCTGAAAGAAAACGGCTCTTCCTCGAAAGATGTCGAGGGGTCGCTTATGGCTTTGGAGACGGGCGTCGGAGACATCAAGAAGAGCATGGGGCGTCTGGGCGTGATGGAGCAGCACCTCGCCGGCATCCAGAACGGCTGCGAACGCACTGCTTCCTCGACTGAGCAGCAGGCCGCGACTTTCCAGAACCTCAGCCTCGTCACGCAAGCGCTGGCAAAGAACTGCGCCACCATCCCGCAGCTCGGCGAACAGCTCCGTTCCCTCTCCGCGGACTTGAACGAGCGCCCTCAGCAGCAAGCTCTCGCCAAGATTGCGCTGGATCTCGCCGCCCTCAAGAGCCACGGTGCCGCGCTTGGCCCCATGGCAACGCGTCTCGAGACGATCGGCACCGGTGTGGACGCCTTGCAGACGCAATGTCATGAGATGGGCGGGCAGCTTCAGCGCTTGCACGCGATCGAGACCGGCATGGGTAACGTTCAAAGCGGAGTGGATGTACTTCGACGCATGGACGGCACGCTCTCCCAGATCAAGACGACACTCAGTACTGCTCCAGCAGAAGCGCGCTCGTTTCAAGGCCACGGCCGTCAAGCACATATCACGGAGACACCCCCTAGCTCTCCATACCAACCGACAGCTGTCAGTGAGACTGCGCTCAGTCTCAGACGAACATCCAACGATGTCGATAGGTCACCTCAAGCCCCTAGCGGAACAGTCTCCCAGTCTCCAGCCGTCCCTCCGTCTTCGTACGGCTCTTCCGTTTCCGCGGTTCCCGTGGCCACCCAGACCACCACGCCTCTACCCTCATCTGGTCACTCTACGGCCTCGATCGGTCCGTCAACGGGCGACATTCCGCTGAATAATGGACGCACATCGGCCGACGATGAGATCGCCTCCGCAGAGTCAGGCTTACATCTCCTCTCTGCTGTTGCAAGCCAGGCCACCGCCAGTGAGACACAAGCGCCCCGCCCTGCTTCACAAAGTTCTACGACGCCGACCGGACCGGAGCCGCTCGATACGCAGGGTGCTACTCCCGCTCTCACGCCAGACACCTCACCTTCGACTAGTTCAGTCGGGCTTAGTACTCCCCGCGCCCCGCCTGCCTTCCTAACAGGTGCCACGACCCCCACGCCTTCGCTCCCATTCAATGCCCGCGGCGTGGAGGAGCCGCGAATGCCAGTCCGATCTCCAACTACGCCTCCGCAGGTTGGGAAGGGCAGACAGAAATGGAAGGACGTACGCCCGACCCGAAGAAGCACCCGGATACAAGCGCGTGAGGGTACGAGAGTAGTTGAGCAGCAGCCCGAGCAGCCTCAGGGGCAAGAGGGGCAGGAGGAGCCGCGCCAGCAACGTGCAAGGACACCCGAGGTGGGGCAATCTGCGGACAATGAGACCGACGCCAGGCTCTCGTTAAGTGCGTGGCTCTCCGGTCGCAAGCGCAAACCCCAAGCCGACCCCGAGTCTCGCCCCACGAAACGGACAACGAACAACAGCCTCTCCAGTATGATTTATAGCGGAGGGGAGGGGTCGGGTCATGGGCCAAGTGGCAGCGGCGATGGGCAAGGTGGACCGGGAGCGAGAGGCATCTAGTCGTGGTGGAGTGGCGGTAGTGCTAGTGCCTGATGTAATATGCAGTCAATGTTGTACTACGTTGCCCGACCACAATGTTGAGCAAAACCTTTGGGGGCGAGGCGGCCATCGTTCAGCGCGTGCACCCACGCTCTCATCGTCGAGCACCATGGACATCCGACGGGGCGGTGCGAGGTCATATCATGACTCGTAAGAGTGCGATAATGGTTACGACTCCTCGCGGCAAAAGATCCTGCACCAATGACAAGTCCTTATCCGCGCGTCGAGTCGATCGATTGCCGTGATATTTTCAGTTGCCCGACTCAACTCTCGTAGAGGAACCCGAAAAGTGGAGGTGAGCCCTGTCAGATCGCAGGAGATGACCGTGTGGTCACGTGGGCTGACGCACCTGGGCCAGGTGTGCGGTATGGTGGTGCCTGAGGGCCTGACGTCCGACCCAGAGGAACGCATCTGAGCAGAGATAGAGCTTGTCACCCTGGAACAACATTGATATGCCTTCTCTTTCTTCACCATTAACCAGTATCCCCTTGTCTTGAAGCTTACGACGCATCACGACGACGAGCTGCGCTATTCTCCTCCCCTCTCATCATCACCACATATAGCGCAGCTCCGTATCTTGTTCCCTAACCCAGCACGACGATCGCACAACGCAAGAGAATGATATGACCGACTACAAGGCCGTGCAAGATGAAGAACTAGAGGCCCTCAGAGCCATCTTTGAGGTGAGTCAAGATACCAGACTGACAGGAATCGATCCATCTGGCATTCCGTCCCTCCGGACGTGCGGGCTGTTCGTTACCGAGCTCGCAGGGCCGTCTCAGACATCTAAGTCCGGTCATGCCAGACGCTGCGGAATGACGTCGAACCCAGCGAAGTGCAAGTCCGATGGCGACGCGTACTGGTCCCGGGCATCAGAATCGGCGTTGTTAATCCGGAGCATCGCCCCTGCACGCTTGCGGGGTCTTCATGCCTTCCGCAAGTGCACGGAGCTCAGCTCGAGCCGATCGTGAACGGCCTTCCTCGCCAGGGGAAATCTGCCGCACGGGCGCTCGGGTCGGACGAGCTCGGTTTCGGATCCTGCACGCCGATCGGTACCCTCTACCGCCTCTTCTCTCTGACCCAAGCTCAACGCCTGTTGGACAGAGCTGACCATCAGGACGACTGGCACGACATCCCGGCGCAGAAGACAGCATGGGGCACGGAGGGCGAGCATGGGTGGTGGGAAGTGGCGCTGCGCGCAACGCACGACGACCGGATCAGCGTGAAGCTGCGCGGTCGCATGGTCAAGGTGAGCTTCCAGGATTGCAAAGTCAGCTGACAGCCTTAGAAATACCCAGACCATGTCCCTCTGCTGTCGCTGATCGAGCCGACGAAACTGAACGCGAGCCACATGCGCACCCTCACGAAGCTCGTTCAGGATAAGGCCAAGTCGCTCGTCGGTGCACCCATGATCTTCGACGTGAGTTTTGGTGCACTGCAATGCTAACGATGAGATTGCCGATGCTGTTCGAGAATGGATCACAGAGAACCACATTCCGCTGCCGAAACCTGGCGAGCCGGAGCCCACGCTTATGGAGGAAATGGCGCAGCGGGAAGAAGCGCAGAGAGCTGTAAGTTCGAAGCTGATTTGAAGTGTACAGCTGTTGACGATGCCAGGCCGAGATTGCGCAGGCTGAGGCGGAGCGGGAACGAAAACGAGCACAGGCGCTGGAGCAAGAGCGGCTACTTAAAGAGCGTATCCAACTCGACGCTACGCGGAAGGAGGAGCGCGCGAGGAAGGTGCAGCAAGCGGAGGAGAAGAAGGAGCGAGACGAGCAGCTGTCCGGTCTCGCGGACGGAGAGCTCGAGGATCGCGAACTCGTGCTCGACCAGCCGATATCGATCGAAGGATACGTTGGATCTTGGTCGAACTGGGCCCTGTTCGGTGGCCGGCGAGAAGGACTGTGGACGTCGTACATCGCCGAGCCAGCACGGAGCGGGCGAGACTTCGTCAAGTCGAGCACGCCATCCGTAACCGTGCTTATCGTCGATTTCTCGCGGCAATACTACCACACTAGCCCGGGAAAGAAGCGGATAGAGGTCATGGTAACTGAGATTAACCGCCTGCAATCCGTGCACTCGGCTCACGTAGCTAAAGTCTACGCTGTGCATTGGTGCAAGAGTCCGAAGGGATGGGAGCGGCTCGCCGTCGTCATCGAGCGGATACCGGACGGAGGGAAGCTTCGAGCGTGGCTGCCGAAAGAGGGCTTTGGAGAGGAAACGGCGAAGGTGAGCTTGCTGGCCTCGGTGGTTTGAAGCTGACTCCCAGGACTACATAACGCAAGTGCTCACCGGTCTATCGGATCTACACCGGCAACACGCAACCCAGAGACGTAAGCTTCCACTTCCCCCAGTGTAGCTGACACCAGAACTGGACACGGACCTGATTCTCGTGAGCCCCGGCGCTGGCGGCGATGCCACGCTCAAGCTCTCTGGTACGAGCTATGCCCGTCGCATCATCGAGTACCATCGGTCGAACCCGTTCCTGAAGTCTGTTGAGGACAACTATCCCGAGTCATGGTGAGTTTCACCTTGCGATCGAGAACTGACAAGCAGGCTGTCGCCAGAGGAGATCGACTCGCCGTACTCGTACACGGGCAAGCGGGATGTGTGGTACGCTGGCCTTATTCTGCTTCAGTTGCTTTTCGGTCGTAACTGCCTGTGGATCTATCCTAACCTCCAGACGCTGCTCGCTCATGGTGAGTTGTCGTCGGAGTGACCGCTAACTCTCAGCTCCGGGTGGCGTATCCCCATTCATGATGGAGCTGCTGACTGGCCTGCTGAACCCTTCGCACAAGAGGCGGTTCACGGTCGATGACGCACTTACGAAGCTTAGAAGTCCAGAGGAGGAGACGACCCGCCGACCAGGACGCCCAATACCTCGTGAGCTCGCCCAGTCTTCTTGTCGAGCTAACGTTCAGTGAACAACGGTGGAAACAACAACTACAGCCACTCCGTGACGCCGTCTGCCAGTCAATTCGATCTTCTCGGCAAATCGCCCGTCTTTGGCAAAGGTCTCGCGCAGTACTTCCCCACGACGCCGACAGGAGCACACCCCTCGCGATACAGGCAGGACTTTGAGGAGGTCGAGTTCTTGGGGAAAGGCGGCTTCGGAGAAGTCGTCAAAGCACGCAACAAGCTTGACGGACGCCCATATGCTATCAGTGAGTTTCAGCTCTAGAAGCGGGTTGAGGTAGCTGACAGATCAGAGAAGATCAAGCTGCGGCCGGAAGACAACGTCAATCGTGTGTTGCGTGAGGTTAACAGTTTGTCTCGCGTCAGCCACCAGTACATCGTTCGGTACTACTCATGTTGGCTCGAGGAAGTCGGCCCGCCGGAGCCGCAGATCTTCGACGACATGACGGCGAGCACAACGACGTCCTCACACGTCTCGTCCGAGGAAGACATCTTCGCGGTCAACTTCGATGACCTTTCAGTCTCGCGTCGCGACCAGTCGCGTAGCGCGTCGTTCCCTCGCATCCGCTTCACGGCCGGCAGCAGCGACAGCGATGACAGCGACGATGACGATGATAGCGATGATGATGATGACGACGACGACACGGACAGTGATGACAGTGACGGTACGATCCCGGACCCATCGGCGAGCGGACAGCGTGCGCGCGGGAAATCGGGCTCGAAGGCCGTGTCCGTTCCCAGTCGGCCGAGCGGGAGCTACACCGGCACGACGACCGACGACGCCTCGTTCCAGCGCATCCTTTACATTCAGATGGAGTTCGTTGAGAAGGTAAGCTTACGATGGTCGCTCGCGAGCTGACGAACAGCAAACTCTCCGCGAAGCGATCACAGCTGGCCTCGCCGAGGATGGCTGCTGGCGCCTGCTCGTCCAGATCCTGCAGGCACTCGCACACATGTCGTCTTTGGGCATCGTGCATCGAGGTAAGCTCATGTAGGGGTGGGGTAAGCTGACGTCAGACCTGAAGCCGTCTAACATCCTTCTCGATACCAACGGGAACGTAAAGATCGCCGACTTTGGCCTGTCGACGTCGGATCCGACAGCAGGCGATGGCATCGGTGTCATGCCCTCCTCAAACGACATTGACAAGACGTCCAACATCGGGACGAGTCTCTACATCGCTCCGGAGGTACTCGTGTCTAAATCGTACAATGAGAAGGTAAGTTTTTCAAGTATCGCTTTTGTAACTGACGAACAGGCCGACATGTACTCCCTTGGCATTATATTTTTCGAGATGTGTTTCGCTTTCAAGACCGGCATGGAGCGCGTGCAGACACTGACGGCCCTGCGAGGCCCGGAGGTGCCGTTCCCGACCTCTTGGCCTGTGGACCTGAAGCCGAAGCAGCGCGAGATCATCAGCCTGCTCCTCCGTCACGACCCGACCATGCGCCCGCAGGCGGCCCAGCTTCTCGCAGGACCACTAGTTCCTTCACCCGACAAGGAACAGAAGCTGTATGACAACGTCATTACCGGTAAGTTTATTGACTCCGTTTCGACGTACTCGCTGCTAACAGACCACAGAGATCACCAACCCCCGCTCGGAGAAATACCCGGAGCTGATCGATGCGCTGTTCCAATCGCACAAGCACCAATTCAACATCGACACGCGCCTCGACGACTTCACGTACGACAATGACCACGATGACGGACACCATATCTGGCTCACCGTCGTGATTAAGCGCGTTGTCGACCTGTTCCAGCGCCACGGCGCCGTCGATGACTACCTCCCTCTGCTTGTGCCAGAGACGACACTGCTGAAGGCGTTCCCGGACCTCAAACCCGTCCGCCTGCTCGATCAGAACGGCAAGTTCGTGCAGCTCCCCTGGTCTAACCTTCTCGGCATGGCGCGCTCGGCATCTCGCCGCCAACTGGAGCGCATCAAACGTTACGTCGTTGGGCGCCGTTACGCAGAGCTGCCGGCCGGCGGACAGCCTGGCACCGCCGTTGAGTTATGGTGAGCTTACATACATGCGCTTAAGCTGACACCAGCTTCGACATTGTGTCACCTCTGCGCTCGTCCGTCGCCGAAGCGGAGCTGCTCGAAGTGCTCGACAAGATGGTGACGGAGTGCCAGGGCACGAGCGGCGGTGCGCAGTTCGACTACGAGTTCCACGTCAGCCATGAGAGCGTGCTCGCGACGATTCTCGCGGATGTGCCGGCGCAATGCCGCCCGCGCCTGCTGAAGGCGTTCCGCGGCTCCCCTGCCAGCGTATCTTTTGAAGCTCGATCGACCTTGCAGAACATTCCCGGACTGCCGAAGTCGCTCCTCGCGGACCTTCAGAACATCAGCGGGGCTGGTGAGTTGTTTGCATATGCGGCGGCGAACTGACATCCAGGCGAGTTCGAGCAGGTGCGGCGAACAGTCGAAAACTCGTTCACGTCGTCGCGTCGTAAGTTGGCCGCGGCGCTGGACGAGATCAACACGATCATCAAGTTCGCTCGCGCTTGTGGCATAACGCGCAAGATTCTGTTCCGCCCGACAATGGCTAAGCACGCCGAGTACTTCCGCGGCGGGTTCATGTTCGAGCTCGTGAAGCGAGGTAAGCACGGGGACGTGCTGGCATTCGGTGGACGGTATGACTCGCTGCTGGAGCACTTCAAAGAGCCAGCGCGCCAGAGTCTCAAGGTGTACGGCGCGGGCATGTCCATCGCTGTCGACAACCTAACGCGCACTGTCCGCAAACAGGAGAGTCTTGTGTCGCACCGCCTCATGACGAAGAATCGTGAAGAGGAACGCTCATTTGGCTTGTGGTCGCCTGCGGTGAGTTAGGTTCCAGTGACCCTTCTAACTCTCAGCGATGTGACGTGTACGTCGCGACGTTCCCTGGTGTGGACATCGAAGCTCGCCTTGCCCTCGTCGGAGAGCTATGGAAGGCTGGCATTCGTGCAGACTTGCAGTACGACGATGGGCGATCGCAAGATGAAGTCATAGAGGAGTGCAAGGAGCAGAACATTCTGTGAGTCGCAAAGTCAGATGAGAGCTGACTTCCAGGTATCTTGTGATTGCACGAGCGCGCCCAACGGTCAAGGTGATTCGTACGCTGGGGGGCCGGTCCGAAGAGGAAGGTGAGTTTCAAGGCACCTGCTGAAACTGACCGCAGTCGCCGTCAGCGAGCTGTCCGACTACCTACGGAGTGCGATCACGGAGCAACGTCGCATCGACTCGTCCTACGCCGATGGACTGCCGTTGAACCAGAAGGACGTGCTGTCCAAGGCGCCAGTCGAGGCTGCATCCAAGCCAGACGCAGAGATCAAGCTCGTGCTGCCCCCTGAGCCGCTGACGTCGCGCCCAGTGAAAGGCAAGCCGGTGCGCAAGCATCGACACGTGACGAAAGCGGTTTACTACGATAAGGCCGCCGACTTTGCCGTCAACGTCAAGAGCTCTCTGCCCGTGATCGGCGTCGACCTCAGCGCGGAGATGCTCAGCGCCATGACGCTCGAAACGGCCTGGGTGCGCGACGACGATGCTTGGCGCGCCATCACGCACCCGCAGCTGCCGACTAGCGAGCGGCGGTATGCGGATCAGGTACGCGACGCCGTCCGCGAACACTCGTCCTCTACCGGTGGACCGGTATGGCTCTTCAGTGTGCGGGAGGCTAGGGGCTTCCTGTTGCAGATCAAATGATTAGTGTAGCAATCGTGTACTTTTAGATGTAACCGCAACCTTAGAGAGCGTCGTCCATTGCGAAGCGCTGAAGCCTCTGTGTCGATCAGTGTCTGACTAACACCATAGTTGCAGTGTCAGCGAGTCAGCATGGGCGCCATATGCTGGAGCGAGACCAGAGTCGTTCGAAGGTAAGGCTTCCAGACAGCCTTTTAGGGAGTGCTCCGACTAATGCGCCGGGTGGCCGTCTGAGCGTTGAGTTCGAGGATTAAGCCCAGAGGGCTCACATGCTTGCTCGTGTGATGAGTCCGGCGAGCCAGTAATGACCCTACCACATGTCCTTTCGGAAGGAGAAGAGACGATAAGGCAGACGCAGACAGATCCAAATCTTAGACATGTGCTGAGCCGACTTGGCTTGCTCGGAATGCAGGGAGCTGGGAACTGGAGTCCGCACAGAGCACCCGCGGGCTTTTCTACCTGCCGTCATGGTGACGCCGGTGGCGCAGAGGCAACAACATTGCGCAGCGGGCATTTCGCTATCCACCGCTCATATCATGTCTCCTGCTCGCTTGCTCTGCCGTGGCTTGCTGTGCTCCACCCTCAACAGTTGGAGCTGGTCGGTTCCGTCTCGGAGAGTGGTGGACAGGGCAGAGCCATGTAACCAGGGCCAGCGTCACTCGCGCTGTTCTCAGCGCCATTGCAGGTACGCCAGGTGGTGTCACGAACATATATGGAGACGAGAGACACAACACGCTCCGCGACGGTGAACTCACGATACGCGACGAACCACTCGCAAGGGCGTTACCATGTTCGACAAGAAGGACCCGCTCGTCGGGAAACCGGCCCCCGACATCCATCTCGTCGACCAGAATGGACAGGAATGGACAATGCCGAAGCAGGGGGTGAGTTTGCCACCCGATCTATTGCTGATGAGCAGAAAGTAGTGTTGTTCTTCGTGAGTATTGCTTCGCCTGCTCCTTGTCAAGTCCTGTTCCAGCAGCAGTCAGCTTCAGCCAGTCGACCTCGCCATCGCGCATTTCCGAAACGCTCCGGCCATCCCTCCAAGCCTCCGAGCGGCCAGTGTCTCTCCGCCCGATGATGGGGCTTGTCAGTGGGCGCAGGTCATACGACGTGCCAGAAGATTGCGACAGAGGTCGCGGAGCTGGCATAGGTGAACGCACCGCACGAGCATTCGAAATTTGGGCTGCCACAGTCTTTCCATGCGTTATGGTTCCGACGCTCGTATCGAGACCTAAACTGCCTTCCAATCCTTCGCGGAGCATTCTTCGAACACCGGGCCGTCACGCCTCCGCTCGATGACTGTCAGGTGCGACTTGCGCCTCTCTCTGTTGACGTCCGCCCAACACCGGCGTAAACTTCTGGCGGCGGGCGACGGCGGACCCGGGTCAGAACTCAGCGCGAGACTCACTACAAGCGCGGCGCCAAGCCCTTCGAGAGGAGCAAACACCACCTGCTCCTTTAAGCATGTGAACGACGATCAGGCATCGATCGTCACCGGCTGTAACTGCATGTCACCACGACCGGCACTGCGACCGGCAGCGACGTCATAGACCGAGCCTCCGCGAACGGTCCGCAGAGTGGGTCGGCATGCTCGGCAGCTGGGTGCGTTACATTGCGGCGTCGCGGGGTCAGGTCGATCCCTGCTTTAACATTACCGCGAGCACCAATTCTTTGGCTGTTTCTATATCCTCACTCTCCTGGGTGATGATTGTGAGAAACCTCAAGATTTTATAACTCCTGCCGCCTCCGTGATTGAGAGCCCACTTGCCGCTGTGCCGTCCTGATCTCTCATTGACATGGTGCGGAGATCACCCCTTGACCGAGCCTCACGAGAGCTCGCACTTTACGTTGCTATTCTTGGGAATCCTCAATTCCTCCCGGAAGCAGAAGGATCCCTCAGAAGTCAAGGGACGGAGTCAATCGTCACTGCGTGCTGTGCGCGGGGCTGTGGGATCGGACGCAAGGGACTTGGGTCGGTCACGGCTGTCAGCACTTCGGTGACGGCTGTTCGACACCCCGGGAGCGATTTACCACCGACGTTGAGCCCAGCGGGGGAGTGGCACTGCACGCCCTGCAGCGCCATGTTCGGTGAGGAGAGTGAGCCTGGTGCGCAGAGAAGAATGGGCGGACTGGAGGAAGCAAGGGGCCGGTTTCATCCCAGTATTCATCCATCCCTCGATGTTCAGATTGATGTCTGCGGATGGACGAGATTGGTGGATTTTGACGGATATTGTTCGCTCCGCCTGCGATGAGCTTCGGCACACCCGGGCCAGAAGGCAGTCACTGCTCAAACGGGCCGTGCACGCGGGCACTCGCTCGAGCCCATCGATCCGTGAGAGAGTGACGAACCGGTGACAACCAAGTGACGGCAGCGGTTCTCGAGATCTGGTGAGATCTCAGGCAGCGCGCGGAAGTGTCACCGCACCACTGCGAAATTTGGGCGATATCGGCGAGGATCCCGGTGAAGCGCGACCGAAAGCGCGACCGAAAGAAGTGTCAAAGGAGGTGCGGCACAGGGCCTCGTCAACCGTACCTCGCTGTTTCGCGCGCTTTGGTTCGGTTTCGCGTGGTTCCTCGCGGTCGTCGCGAGATCACCGCCGAGCAAACGCCTATACTGCTCTTCATCCCCTATCTTGGTCGAATCAGATGCCGTTCTGGCTCTCGTTGACGCCATATCGGGACTCCGGGTGTGGCTATACTTGGCCGCATATGGATCACAGCGACCTCGAGACATGGGCATTGGGCAGGGCCCAGCTGTGCGGGCTGCGAGTTCTGATGATCGCGCTCCGTGCTCCGAGGTATCGGTCGGTTTTGGTGGTCCAATTTTCTTGGATTTTCTCGGTGATCAATGCGGAAAACTGGGTCGTTGCGCGCTGCAATCTGAGAAGTCTGAGGAGACGGTTGCTTTGGCCACCATCCTTTGGCCGCTCACCGCTGCCCGTGCTCCTTATCGATTCATGTTGAAACTGGTCTATGCGTGCTGATATGGTCCACCGCCAGGCCTCAGCGACAATGGCTGTTGGGCCTAACCTCCGAGACTTGCGCCAATCGTGATCGCCGTTCCGCTGCTGCTGCTGCTATGGACAGGTTGTGAACGAGCTTCCACTGGACTTCTACTGACCCGTGGACCTAACCCCTGAGTGCAGCTCGCTGACACCCAGTTCCCCGCCGCATTCACCTCAGGCTGCACCGCCGAAATGTGCGCGATCCGCGACTCGCCCTTGGCCGAGCTAGCCTCCGTGGCACCCGTGCGCGCCTCCCCGCCCACAATCGACATCTCCGTCGACCCGCTGGACCCGTTCGAGCCGAACCCCACCAGCTCTGCTGATCTCGACCCCGCCGCGGCCGGGACGAACGCCACAAAGCCCATCGACCCGACCACGCCGTATCCGGTCGATCCGACTACGAACGTTCCCAGAGGTCCCGACCCGACCACCGGCGACGCCCTCACGACCAACCCCTTCACGACGACTGCGCCGGGCACCTCGGTGTCTTCCGTGACACTTGTCGGCATATCCAAGGACCGTCCCGAAAAGCTGCACGAGTGGGCCCAGAAGTTGAAACTGCCCCCGGGAATGGTCTTTCTTTCTGACCCTGGGGGAAGGATTGGGAAGGAGTACGGCGTCCATTCTGCCCTGCTTGGACTTGCTACCACGCGCAAGACGGTTATTGTCGATAACGGGGTGGTCAAGGACAGTTATGTCGCTAATGTCGGGGTTAAGAGCCATGCGGGCTGGGTTGAGAAACACCTGAACACTGTTTAAGCAGGCTTGCGAGACGGGAAGAGAGGAAGGAGATGATAATGGACTGAAGACACTTGTAACTGCGACTTGACTTTACTATGTGCTGAGTAATTAATGCTATGCAGATGAGAATGGTTTGGATGTACCCTACTTCTACGCTACTTCTACTTGTCTGTCTATCTACTCGACGCGCTGCACCGGCTGCGGCTGCGGCGCGGCGGCCTCGGGCGTCGGCTGGGGGAGGACCGGCTCGGGCGCCGGTGCAGGCTTGGGCGGGCGGTTGATGTCGGGCCTTGGGTCGGGCCTGATCCCGCCCTCGGGCGGGCCACCGCCAGGCTGCTGTGGCGTCTCGCCCGCCGGTTTCGGGAATCGGAGGGGACGGTGGATCGAGCGCCTCTTCTCCGACTGGCCCTGGAGCCTCGCGCCCTTGTTGGGCGGTTCGCGGTCGAGCTTCTCCCCGCGCAGCACCTTGATCACCTCCCTGTGGTCGAGCTCCTCGTACTCAACCAGCGCCTTTGCGAGGCGGTGCAGCTCCTGCTCGTGCCCGATGAGGAGGCGCATGACGCGCCGCATCGAGCCGTTCAGGAGGTTGTCGACCTCTTGCTCGACGGCGAGGCGCTTCGGCCCGCTCATCTTGCCGTGCTCCTGGATACCGAGGCCAACCTTCTCGCCGCCCATGCCGAAGGAGCGCACCATGGCGTCCGCCCAGTAGGACGCGTTGCGCAGGTCACTGGCGCAGCCCGAGGTCACCTCGTCGGGGCCGTAGATCAGCTCCTCGGCTGCGCGGCCGCCCATCGCCACGTCCAACTTGGCGCGGTACTCCTTCCTCGTCGTCGAGTACTTGTCCGCCTCGGGGAGGAGGAAGGTGAGGCCGAGCGCGTGGCCGCGGGGCATGATCGTGACCTTGTGCAGCGGGTCGGCGCCGGGGGTGTACAGCGCCGCGAGAGCGTGGCCCCCCTCGTGGTACGCCGTCATGAGACGGGCGTCCTCGGGGATGAAGGTCGACTTGCGCTCCGCGCCCATGAGGATTCGGTCCTTGGCCCACTCAAAGTCCTTGAGAGAGACCGAGTGAGCACCGTCGCGCGACGCCTTGATCGCAGCCTGGTTGCAGAGGTTGCGGAGGTCGGCACCGCTCATGCCGGGGGTACCGCGGGCGATGACTTTGGGGTCGACGTCGGAACCGTAGTGGATCTTCTGCATGTGGTGCTTCAGAATCTCGATGCGGCCACGCACGTCGGGCAGGGGAACGGCAACGTGGCGATCGAAACGGCCAGGACGGGTGAGAGCTTTGTCGAGAGACTTGGGGAAGTTGGTAGCAGCGACAACAATGATGCCGTCCGACTCGTCAAAGCCATCCAGCTCGACGAGGAGCTGGTTCAGCGTCTGCTTCATGTGCTGCTGGTCGCGGGCCGAGCGCTTACCGCCCATGGCGTCGAGCTCGTCAATGAAAACAATGGCGGGAGCCTTGGCGCGCGCAGCCTTGAAGAGCTCGCGCACGCGCTTGGCACCGACACCGACAAACATCTCGTCGAAGGCAGATCCGGAAGCGAAGAAGAAGGGCACCTCCGCCTCGCCGGCGATGGCGCGCGCGAGGAGCGTCTTACCAGTACCCGGCGGGCCGGTGAGGAGGACGCCCTTGGGGAGCTTTCCGCCGAGCTTGGAGAACTTCTCGGGGTTGCGGAGGAACTCGACAATCTCCTGCACCTCCTGCTTGGCCTCCTCGCATCCTTTGACGTCGGAGAACTTGACCGTCTTGCCTTCCTCGGGCTGGAACTCAGCCGGGCCGGGACCGGCCTTCATGAGACCGGCGTTCTCCATGAACATCGAGAAGACAGTGAGGGCGAGGAAGGACCAGAAGATCAGACCGAGCAGCCAGCGGATACCGCGCCACATGCTGTGGGCGGGCGTCGCGGCCGCGAGCTGCACATGAATCGGGTTCAACGGCGTGCCGGCGTTGGACTGGTTCTTGTTGTCGGACGAGGTCGTAGACGTGGCCTGCTGAGCCGGCTGGGCGGAGCCAGTCAGGCGCTGCGCGGCGTTGGTCAGGATTGATCCGGGGCTGGAAGCAGTCGGGGCGGAGGAAGCGGTGGCAGAAGCAGCAGCAGGAGCCGTAGTTGAAGTCGAGGAAGCCGTGGTTGAAGCAGGGGCCGGAGTCGAAGCAGGAGCCGAGGAAGCGGGCTGGGCAGCCGAAGCGGACGAGGTGGAACCGTCGTGCTCAAGGCCCTCGTCCTTCAAGCGCTGGTCGCGCTTGCGGACAGCAGAGGAGAGCTCGCTGAGGCGGCCAGTGGTGGCAAGAGCGTGCGAGTAGAGCTCGAACGCCTCGTCGCTCTTGAGCAGAGCCGGAGAGAAGTGCTCGCCGGGCGCGAGCGCGACCTGCTCATAGTATCGGATCAGGCCGTTGCTCTCGTTTCCGTCACGGAGAGCCTCCATGAGCTCGATCTGGGGCTGAGGGTCGTCCGAGTCCCGGCTCTCGAGGGCGCGGGTCTCGAGGCCGGCAATCTTCTCCTGGAACTCTGTCGGGGGAACGGCGTGGTCGACGGCATCAGCGTCAATGCCCTGGTTGGCAGCGGGAACAGGAGCGGGCTGCTGCTCGTCCTTCTTCCTGCTGAAGAGCCAGTGGCGCGAACTCGTTGTTGCAAAGGAGCGTGCGGGGTATCGTAGGAGGGGCGCAGCGGGTCCGCGACACGGGCGGAGCGCCCGGCGCAGGACGTCTATTCCGGCCTGGGACGGTCGGAGCGACATCTTGTCGTCAGTCTTGAGCGATGGGGAGGAGACAAACCTGCTGCTGAGTTTTGAGGAGGGGGTGGTTGAAAGTTGGGACTTTTACCTCGACAGTGACGCGGCTTGTCGCTCGCTCAGCCCGAAGCGAAGGACGCCATGTCGGCAGACTTCGAGCGCCGAGCTGCGGAGGCAAATTCGGGTGGAAGCGTCCGGACACTGCGCGAAGTCCGAATGTGAGTCGCCACCGGACATGAGTCAGATTTGGGGAGATGCTCCCGCGGACACACCTCGTGAGAACAGCACGACTCTCGCGTGGACGAACGGACTCAAGTCGCTCACGTGACTGACGGAACGGGTGTAGCGGAAAAAGGACTGTCGAGACCGCGGATCCGGGACTCAGGCTCCACCTAAACTCAGGCACGGGCGTTCCTTGAGAAGCGAAGAAGCTGGGCGAGACCGCCCTGAGTGGTGCCTGGGGCTGTCGCCAGCCCGTTCGCGAAGGCGTAGAAGAGGAAGAGGGGCTTGCGCTTCGTCTGTCGTCGTCGTGCTTGCTCCGCTTACATGGGGTGTGGGCAGTCTCCATGGAGCACGGCGTTGAGGTGAGGACCCATGACCAGAAAGACAAAAGGCCTCACTGTAAGAAAAGCAGGCACGTCAGCGGACATGGGCGATTGGCGACTAGTGCGTAGCTCGCGTCACCCGATCTCAGCCCAGTTAAAAATCACACACGATCCATCCTCCTCCCTACGCCAGTGAGTGGACCACCACCAGCCCCGCGCAGCCCGTATCGTGACTACGGTCCGTCTCCCCGTTTCTCTCGTTCACGCATTCACTCGTTCACGAGGTAGTCCTGATAAGTCCGTCTTGGCATCAATCTGCGCATCGGCGCATAGCGCATGCCAATCGGCGCATAGCGGCCCATAACCCTTGTTGGAGACGAGATCGGAAAGCTCGATTCCGATCTCGATCTCTCTCTACTCTTGTGTACTCTATGTGCGCCGCCGGCGCCGCCTATTCTATGCCGCATCTGCCGCCGCATGAAGCCGCGTGCAGCCGCATGGCAAGGTTACCAGCCTCGCCGCCCGCCGCCGGCGCCGCTTGTAAATTCAGAAATCTTCGGCATCTGGGTCCATTTTGTCAAAGGACGCCTCGTAGGATCGCAGGATCACAATCACAGGACAGCGCAGTCCGGACATGAACAGCCGCTCAGCCGTCGATTAGGTCTGAGGGAGTACTGGAGTACATGCTATTCGTTGCAATCGCCGTAGCTCGCGTAGCTCTTTGGCGCCACCCTGCGTCTATTGAGGACTATCATAACAACTTGGTTTAGAGTGAGATTGCCACCCAAGTTCATTATGCATTCAGCTTTTCATTATTGCTGCAACCCTGCACTCTGTATTCCTGCGCCTTTCCGTATTCCTGCAAAGGACAGGTATGCAAGTATAATAGCGACCAGCCTGGATCACACGCGGTACCACTCTCCGCTGACAGGGAGGATCGGCTCCAGTGTACGTCGGTGGCGCACAGAATCGCTCAATCACTCACCGAAACCCTGCATCACCCTGCATCACCTTCCCTTATCCGCCTAGCTTTTCTTCCTGCCCACCAAGTTGCCTTGTACCTTTTGCCCGGCCTGCCCGGGTGGTGCCGGTGGTGCTGGCAACAACCGCGCCCCTTCCAACCCTGAGTCGGTCCTGCGTCCTGATCACCTTTCCTGGCTGACACCTGATCCTCAGGCCCAATGCCCTTAGCCCACATCGCCTTTCGCGCCTGACCTTTTTGCAACGACGCGACCCACTTTTGTCCACCTTGCGTGTCCTACTGCAGACAGACCATCCCCCCGGCCTTGCGCGCCATGCAGCCATGCGTCACCGTAGCCACCACGCACCACCGTGACTACTCAGTCACGACAACTGCACTGCATCGCGACTCCACCGAGCCGCCACCGCCGCCGTTGGCTTCGATCACGCCTGGCGTTGCAGTTGCTGCTGCTGCTGCTGCTCTGCTGCTCTGGTTGGGTAACTTCTTTCAACTGCATGATACATCCAAAGTAGAAAGCCAAGGGTGGTATCTCTATCTGAAAAACGCATCCGACGACAAGCGACCCGGAGAGAGTGAATGTGTCAACCGAGCCCGCCCCGTGGAGAAGGGTGGGCGCGTCCAACGGGGGTGCGAGAGGCCAGTAGTTGAGGTCGGATGCGAGGTTCAATTTTTATAATGACGACGGTTGTGGTATTCCCCGCGCGCGCGCAACACCAATCAAAGAAGAAGGTCGGACAGACACGGAAAGAAAAATGTTCCAGAATTTGCGGAGGAGGCTCTTGTGTACATGTTAAACGGCTTGCTTGTATGCGAGGCAAATATAAGTTGACGTATTGACGAGAGACCGTCCCGAGGGAGGCTGGCGTTCATATTGCGAGCTTTCGGGACGACTCCATGAAATGCGGTAGTGCAATGCTGTGAGGTTGAATATTGAACATGCTTGAGGTGGTATGATGAAATTGCTGAGAGTGTCGGAGGTACTGTGGGAGGGGTATGTGCGCACTGAAACGACGCTTTTTGAGGGGGTTGAATCAGTCGCGCGTGCGACGAGCGTCGGCGCGTAGCGGAGCCGGGATGGGCTGCGCCGGCGGTCCGGAACGCTCGTAGGCTGTTGGCGTCGGCGGGGCAGCGGGAACCTGCTTCGACAGCTTGACTGCTGACGGGGCAATGTTCTCCTTGGCCGCGACCACGTATCGGTCCATGGTCGACGTGAGCGGGTGCTCACTTGACGGCGTAACAGGAACGCTGCCCTCGTCGCCAGAGTCGGAAGACGTGTCGTGCGAGCTTCGGCTTCCCGGGCTGTTGGTGAGTGCCGATGATCGTCGAGACGACCAAGACGGGGGAGAGAGACCGGGCGTCGACGGGACGTGCAGCAGGGGCTGCGAGCGGCGAATGTCGACGGTGCACGAATACCGACGGCCAGACAGGTAAAAGTCGCGGACAAACTCGGCGCACATGTGGTAACGCTCGCGCGTGTACTTGTTGACGAGGACGTCCGACATGCTCTCGAGGTTCTCGTGGAGAATGCGGTCGAGGGCCTGGGCGATGCGGATCGCCTGAGGCTCTGACGGCTCCAGAAGCTCGTGGGGGGCCGATCGGCGCTGCCTGCCGCAGATGAAGCGGGCGAGAGTGAGCGAGCCCCAAGCAAGGATTGACGGGCGGATGCCGATGAACTCCTGCTGGTACAGAGCAAACTCGAGGATGAAGCGAGCAGCAGCCGCTACCCGGGGGTGCTCGTTCAGCTGGGAGTTCGAGTGCGTCAGGTGGAGTCGGAGCCATGACACGGCAGTCGGGTGGCCAACGACCCATCCGATGGTAGTCAGAATGTGACCCTCCATCTGGATGAAAGCCGACGGCTCGTACGAGTTGCAGCACATGTCGTAGAACTCGCGGACCAGCGGAACGCGGTCCTTGCTGTCCTCAAACTTGGCGGCGATCCACAGAGCAGCGCATCCGACGAGCTGGTAGTGCTTCTTGAAGACCACACGTCGCGACACGTAACGGTCGACGATGTTGATGGCGAGGTAGAGACACTCCGACTCGAGGTGCCACTGGTTGTGAAGCTCCACGAGGAAGTCGATGAGGTATGGTCGCATACGCCACTGGACCTCAGGTTGGGTTCCCATGAGTTCCGGCTGAGGGAGCGTCGCGTTCTACGGATGATGTCAGCCATGCACGGTGCATATGTGTGATCCATGTCGATCAGTGGCACTCACCTCCATCTTGAGAAGGTACGCAATGTGCTCATCACGGTACTCGTCCTCGTAGTAGTAACCATCGTCCGAGCGGCGAGGCACAAAGGTCTCGAGCTCGAGGTGGGACTGCAACGGGGCGGTGGACGAGGAGGAAGCCGTGGACGAGGACGAAGGCGCCGGGTTCTTCTTGTAGGGAGAAACACGAGCTGCACGAGCGCTGGGCGAGACCGAACGTTTGCGGCTCCATCCCTCCATAGAGGTGCGAGCGAACTTGGCGGGAGGGGCGGGAGGCATGGTGATGGAGAAGGGGAAGGCGATGTTCACGTGAGATGGTGGATTTTGCTGATGCCCTTGGGTGGTGAGCGCACTAAACCAGGCGTGATTTGGTTAAGTGCGGGATGCGTGACAAGATACAAGACGGATAGTGTGTGCAAGATGTTCACGCGTCAGTCGGATTCGAGTCACGAGGGCGAGGGAGGGGGGGCGGTGGGAGATGCTGATGGGAATCGTAAGCACAGGTTGCCGGATCAATTGCAAGACCGATTGTCGTCAAGACGTAAGAAGAAAGAGAGGGTAGAGAATGAAGTTGGGACAAGAGCCAGGTCGCGGTCGATAGAGAGTCAAGACAGAGAAAGAGTGGGGAGAGAAGGGAGGGGGAGGGGGGGAAAGGGAGGGGAAAGAGCCGTGGGTCGTCGAGACCGTGGACTTGATGAACAGCAGACGAGCGCAGCTTATGAGCAAGACATGCGAGTTGGAAACGCTCGAGTCGCGTCAAGAGCAGTTGGGCTTGTCTGCACGATGTTCACAAAGCACGGTCTTTCAAGGAGGAGTAGTGGACGAGCCGTACGTGTGGGAGGACGAGGGGACAGAAGAGCGCTGGAGTATATTTAAAGGCAGGTAGCAGCAAGGCAGAGGTGCGCAGAGGTGCGAACCAGGGCGAACCAGCCCGCTGTGGGCGGGAACCCGTTTCGCAATAGGATGCGCAGTGGTCCAGGGGACGCGGGGTGCAGCGCAACAACGCCATAGGGGGTGGGTGGTAGGGCTGGCTTAGCGCGATGAAACTGCCTGTCACGCCTGAGAGCCAGGGAGTGATGCCGTGGTGCCGCGAGGCTTGGACCTGCCCGGTGGTCGTGCGGCAGCCCAGGGTTATGGGTCGGGTTTTGGCCAGGACAGCATGCACAGACAGAGGTCATCACAGCCAAGCGCAGGTGCTGCCGGCACCGCGACCTGGACGACACATGACGCAAGCCCACTTCCTCTGCTCTGCCCTGCTCGACAGCGCTTGAGAACGTACCCAGGGTGCGAGGGATCAAGGTCGGGGAAATCCAGGGACGCAGGTTTCCCAGAATTCACAGCTAACAACTGAAAACTCCCAGCCAAGGTCGTCGAAAACTGGACTGTCCAGTACGAGTTTTCAGCCAGAAAACTCCCCCTCGTCCACGAAAACTGCTGCCAGAGGCCTGGAGAATTCACGTCGTGGGTGAGAGAATTCAGAGAATCCGCGGTTCCTCAATCCTC